TTGGCTGTGGAGGCTCTTCTGGGACTTGAACCTCTACACTTATCGGTAGAGGCCGAGGCCCGGAGGGCTTCCATAAGACTAAATGATTGGGGTGAGTGGAAGGATAGAGGCAGTCTCGGACACGGGCGGATCTGGGAGGAAACTCTTAGGTCCGACCCCTTCCTCGCAAGAAGGGACGTGATTCGAGCTACCCTACTTGAACCGAAGAGGTATAAAGTCATTCTCCCGAACAGGGAGCAGTGGCTGAACCCAGATCGTCCGTTCCTCAAACCTGAGGGGCTCGTGTGGTTTACCGATGGGTCCCTAACGGAAAAGGGAACGGGCATGGGTATACACGGTGACCGGCCGAGAGTAGGCATCAGCCTCTCCCTTGGCCAGCACAGTACTGTGTTTCAGGCAGAGGTGCTAGCCATCACGACCTGTGCGCAAGAAAACCTCCGTAGAGGTTATCGTAACCAGCATATATACATATGTAGTGATAGTCAGGCGGCGTTAAAGGCTCTGTCAGCTGACAGGGTCCGCTCGAATACGATGCTTGACTGTAGGCGAACCCTAGATAGATTAGGTGAGTCTAATAGGGTAAGCTTGATATGGGTGCCGGGGCACTCTGGAATAGGGGGCAACGAAAGGGCGGACGAGTTGGCTCGCGAAGGCAGTAGTGGGGTCCTTGTCGGGCCTGAGCCCCCCCTTGGAATTGCTCCCTCAGTTGTCAGGGTCAGGATTAAGAACTGGGCGACCAGTCAATTCCAGGCTCAATGGCAACAGGCAGCTGGACTCAGACAGTCCAAGACCTTTTTAACAGGGCCTCTTGGCAAATCTGAGTCTTCTAAGCTTCTAAACCTAAACAGAAGTCAGATTAGGAAGATCGTCGGTGTCTTCACGGGACACTGGATGGTCAACTATCACCTGCACAATATTGGGCTTGTGGAAGACCCTGCGTGCAGGTTTTGTGGTGAGGTAGAGGAAACTACCGAGCATGTAGTCTGTTACTGTGACGCTCTGATCAGGGACAGACATAAACTCCTCGGTGACAGTTACTTGGAACCGAGGGAGGTGAGGAAACTAAGGCTAAATAGGGTCTTATCCTTCATTGAAGGGAACGGGCTCTAAGCTTTGGTTGTTTAGAGAGGGGGTTAGCACAATGGGCCGTTGATGAGCCTAAGTGCTGCCTGTAAAGGCTCCCCTGATAGAATAGAATAGAATAGA